AAATCAAAAAAGTTTTGACACCCGGAGGAATCGAACTTTGGTGTTGAGATTGGTAAAAATTCAGTGGAAAAATCCACTAGGCCATCTGGACGCGAAAATTTGAAATCGCGATTTTTGATGTTTTTAAGGGTTTTTGAGCGGTTTTAAGCAGTTTTAGAGTGTTAAGAAGATCTAAAAATGTTAAAATTCATATTTTTAAGTCATATCCACCTTTAAGTCTCTTGTTAGACACCACTGCCTGGACAGCCTGATTGATAAGCAAGGCAATCATGGTCATAGGACTTCTCAGCTGATTAAAAAGTGCCAGGGACACAAATGCAATCTGAGGGGTCAGTAGATGGGCGGGATTGGATAGCACAAAAGTTCCAAACGAGAACAAGGCCACTAGAAATGGGCTGGCAGTGTTGAAGGAGTCCAGGATGTTCCTGACCATTGCACTCTTCTTGATCAGCGCCAGTTCCTTGCTTCGAATCTCCTCAATGAAGGCTTCCATGGGAACCTCCCAGGCGTACAGCTTGACCACTTTGATGCCATTCAGCACCTCATTGACCATCTTTGTCCTTTCATCCTTCAACTTCATTTGCTCTATCTGCCATTTCCGGACCACCATGGACGAGATAATATTCATCGGCACAAAGATAATCATTATCACGACTCCTGGGATCGCAGAGTAGCCCAGAGTCAGAAATAGGTAGACTAGAGCAAAGGTAATCTGGTAGGGACAACTCCAGAATTGTTGAATTTGCGGAGTGATCATCTGGAAGCGCTCCACGTCGATTGCCATGAGATTCACGATCTCTCCGACGGTCCGGTCCCTTCTGGCGCTATTCGAGAGGAGCAACGTCTTCTTGTAAACCGCCCCGGTGAGCGCTGTTTGGATTTTCGTGCCCATTCGAAACATGATGTAGAAATAGCCGTTGAGGATGAGCGAGCGGAGTTCCGAGGTGGAGAACATCAGGATCGAGAGGGCCATGCCTTTCCAGAATGGCGCGTTTTTGGAGGAGATGAAGTTGAGGAGTTCGCTGAAAACGTGATTTTAAAAAAAATCGATTTTTTTAGATCAAAAATATGCTCCGCCAGTCAAATTGGGCCGGTTTCTGCCCTTTTGACACAATTTTCAGTCTCATTTTTGAACAATTTTGACTTATTATTGCTGAAAACACGCAAAAATACCAGAGTTTAGGCTTCAAAGTTACTTAAAACTGCTTAAAACTGCTCTAAACCCCCTAAAATCGCGATTTTCTACCACTTTGCATTTTTGCGTTCAGATGGCTTAGTGGATTTTTCGACGAAATTTTTACCAATCTCAACACCAAAGTTCGATTCCTCTGGGTGACAAAATTTTTTTGATTTCTGTGTGGACCTCGGAAATAGCTTTTTTAGCTGTTTTGGATGCTTGAAAACTATTTTTTCAAAAATTTCAGATTTTTTTAAATGCTGAAATTTGAAATTTT